AAACGAAACGAGACTAAATGGGCTCACCAGCCCAGGGGCAAGGACAAGAAGGCAGGAGGGGACAGGAAAGCTGGTAATGGGGAACCCAAGGTAGAGAAGGGGAGAGTGTTTATATGTCCTGGGGTTGGCAACCAAAGTCACAAAATGATATGTGTATTAATTGTTTAATGAGAAACTAATTTGCTCTGTAAACCTTCATCTAAAGTACAACAAAAACAAACAAACACAAACAACAAAAACCCCAGATCTCTGCTGTTTAACTCTTACAAAAGCCCTGTAACAACACCAATATTTATGGAGGATTCCCTGAAGGACTTGCAGCTCACCCATTCCTATAGGCGATCTAACATTCCCCTTCAATAAGCTCCACCTGCTGCAATCCTGGAAGGTTCTACTGTGGTCCTTTGCAGAACCAACCTTGAGCTGTATTTTGGTGATGAGCCCACAATGAGGGGCACTGCGAGAAGTCATCCACTCTGCCACATGATGTCCTCTTTATCAGGACAGGGGAGGATTTCCTTGCATAGCTCCTCCCAGGATCAGAAAAACCTGTGTGTCTCCTGAAAAGCTAATGTGGTTTTATTTTACAAACAACGTAATTTCCTTGTTTGATTTGGCCTCAAGGAAGCTCATAGTCAAGTATACCTCTGGCAACTGTAAAGTGTCTTACAAAATCACGAGCCACAAAGATTTACTGAGTACGTAGTATGTGCTAAGCACTTTACAAGCAGTCATTTCACTTAATCCTCATACAGACCCATTAGGTAGGTAAGAGTATTATGTCTACTGTAGTAGGCTGAATAATGGCCCCAAAGAGAGCCATGTCCTAATCCACAGATCCTGTGTATGTTACCTTACATGGCAAAAGGGACTTTGCAGATGTGATTAGGTTAAGGTTCATGAAGTGGGAGATTATCCTGGATTATTTGAGTGGGTTTTATACATAATCACAGGTGTCCTTATAAGAGGGAGGCAGGAGACTTGACACAGAAGAGAGGAAGGCCATGTGATTGATGGAAGAAGAGGAGCGCAGAATCAGAGAGAAGGTGCTATACCACTGGCTTTGAAGATAGAGGAAGGGGCCATGAGCCAAGGAATGCCAAGAATGCAGCTGTAGAAGCTGAGGAAGACAAGGAAATGGATTGTCCCCCAGAGCTTCCACGAGAGGATGGCCCTGCCCACACTGTGACCCAGTGAAACTGATTTTGGACTTCTGACCTCCAGAACTCCAAGGAAGTAAATGCGTGTCATTTTGAGTCACCACGTGGGAAGTGGTTTCAGTGGGCATAGGAAACTCATGCACCCACTTCCCAGACAAGGACATGAGGCCTGGAGAGTACTGCACGAGCGTTCATGCTAGGTTTTCAGCCTCTGAATTCTCAGCTCTTCCCTCTCACACTGCCTCCTGTGCTGTCTACATTTCTGTGCCCTGGCCTCACCTGCCTTTATTATCCCCCTTCCCTTACTTTCCCCACACTGCTGCTCCCACTACTGATTTCCTCTACCTAGCATGTGCATTTTCTTAGGCTACCACAGATCTTTGTGCAATGGCAGCTGCATAGGAATAAATGCATAGTGGACACTTGTTGAGGTGTGGAGTGGGGTGTCTGGGCTTTTTCTTGCTCTAGGAATTGCTTTCTGATGTAACAAAGAAAGGCCCATGACTGCTCTTGTTCCCTTTCTGCCTTTGTAGAGAAGGTTGCTCTTCTATTTACCACAGCAGCAATAGCTGGGCAAGGCAGCACTTCCGCATTTCCAGAAAACATGGCTCACTTCCTGGTCAGTATCCAGAGCCTGGTTATGAAGGTCTTTCTTTCCCCATAGATGTTTTTGTATTATTCATAACAGCACATACCCTAAGATCTTCTCCTTTCTCCTCCCCCCCTTCTAAAATCACAAAAAAAAAAGAGAAAAGAAAAATTAAGTATGAAAGTCAGAAAACACCGGATCCTTTTATTTTGCCAGATGATCCTCCCACAGCCCTGTGCGTGCTGGAATTCCCTAAGACATGTGGGGCTGCTCCCTGTGAATCTCTCAGCAAAACGGGGGCACCCCAGTCTGGCCTTTGCGCCAGTCAGCAGCCATTCAGCCTGCCTTTGGGCCCAGCTCTCCAGAGCTCAATGGCTCTTGAGAGATGGGCCACTGCTTTCCTTTCTGCTGACCCCAGTGTACCAAAAACTCCCACTGATTGTCGAAATGATGCTAGGCAGGCAGTCCTCTTTTCTTTCCTGGATCATTACTCCTCCAGCCTCAAACAAATTCCAGTGCAATAACCACAATTCTACTGGAGGCATCTTTCCAAAATGCTACCTCTTCAGGGCTAAAAGGAAGCAGCCACACCTTCTCTGGGTCTCCCGGGCCCTGCCTGGTTCCGCCTCCTCTCTGACCCCTCTCCTGTGATTCCCACATGATATGCAGGGTCACGTCCCCTGCCTTCTCCCTGTTGTTCCCTCCCCAACCCCATCCCACCTGGCTTGTCAACAACACTCTAGAGCAGGGAGATTGACAGCATGGATTCAGGAGTCAGACAGGCTGGGATCAGTTCATCTTAACTCCACAAATATCCCATACCTTCTCTGTGCCACTGGCGAGGTAATTCTGCCACTATGAGCTGTGTGATTTGGGAAAAGTTATGTCACGTCTCTCACCTCAGTTTATACATTTGAAAAATAAGGATAATGAGTATAAAGTAATTAGCATAGTGCCTGGCACATACTTATGTATGTGCCATAAATATGAGATGTTATAATTACTATTTTTATCATCAGTCAAGCCTGAACTCAAGCTTGATGACCCCCAACAGATTAGATCCCACCTCACTCTCTCCCCACCACCATGCCACATTACACTCACCTCAGGCTTTTAATCGGCTGACCCGCCCACTACTCTGGACCTGACCTGTATCTCCTTCTGAGTGTCTGTCCAGAGCAGGGCTGGGCCCCTGCGTTACTGACTCCACAGAACAGCTCCGACTTCAGACGGCTGGGCTTTCCCAGGACGGGCGCATGGTATTGCCTTGTTCTCCCCCCGACTCATCCCCTCCTCTCACCTCTCCTGACACTGACTTGAAAGGCTTAGCCAGGCTGGGCTGCTGGCTGAAGGGTGAGTCTAGGAGACAGACAACCATGGCAATCTTTTTGTGTGAGGATGAACTCAACAAACACACCCTGACCCACTCATTCATCTCCCGTCTGGCTTCTCGTCATGCACCAGGAACGAACAGGCTGCCATGGTCCAGGGCTCCATCCTCACAGAAGAGCCAGGGTGACTGGTCAAGGTCAGCCTCTCCATTCATTTTCTCTTATTTAATTGTTACCCTTTTTATGAGCTTCAACGGGCCTTCTTTTTAAAGGAGTCAAGGACAGTCAGACAAATGGCTTTGAGACCATACTGGCCTTTCTGGGTGGTAGTTGTGGGGATCAGCTGTTTACTCAAGTGGGAAATCTTCAGTTACTCCTCAGCTTAGAGAGGGGTCAGCCTGGATGCTTAAACCACACCCGCTTCCCACCCCTCATCTGGCCAAACATCATCGTGTTCCCCGTCTGCCTCTGTAGTGCCAGATTTCACAGCGGAGTGCCTCGCCACTAGCCAGACCCTCTACGCTTCACTGAAGGTGCGGTCCTTCTCCTGCTCCTGTGGCTATGTTAGCTTCTTCCCACTCAGGCAGCCCACAGGGTTACTGCAGTTAACTGCATTTTGTTCTTTGCACTGCAATTCACCTGTTGTATATTTGTTTGCCCCATTGGGATAATTAATGACCATAGCACATTCATTTTTGTTTCTTTAGTACTAGAGAAAAACTCAGGACTGATTAAAAAACCCATTGCTGTTGGTAAATTCCAACTCATAGCAACCCTATAGGACAGAGTAGAACTGCCCCATAGGGTTTCCGAGGCTGTAAATCTTTACAGAAGCAGACTGCCACATCTTTCTCCTGCAGAGTGGCTGGTGGGTTTGAACCTCTGACCTTTCAGTTAGCAGTCAAGTGCTTAATCACTGTGCCACCAGGGCTCCTGCCTGACACTGGTAGCCGTACAATAAATGTCTGCTGAATTAATGAGTGATACTACTACAGTTCAATGGTAGAATTGTCTCCTCTCATACAGGAGATCCAGGTTCAATTCCCAGCTAGTGCACCTCATGTTCCCCACCCTGTCATTGGGGGCTTGCATGTTGCTATGATGCTGCACAGGTCTCAGCAGAGCTTCCAGACTAAGATGGAGTGGGAAGAAAGGCCTGGTGATCTACTTCTGAAAATCAGCCAGTGAATCACAACAGTCCGATCTGCAACCCATCTCGGGATGGTGCAGGACCAGGCAGCATTTTGTTCCATTGTGCCTGGGGTCGCTGTGAGTTGGGGCTGACTTGAAAGCAGCTAACAACAACTGCTGCAGTTAAAGGTCTACAAGTGTCACAAGAAGAAAAGGACAGGGAATCTTCTCTTTTGGCATAAATGGTATTTACACTCAACTGGCAAACTAAGTAAACTGGGAAAGTAGCCCAGGTGTACAGTTTGGGTTTTTATTTTTGGCCGTTTGGACAGTGGTTAAGGTGTTTGGCTGCTAACCAAAAGGTCAGCAGTTTGAATCCAGCAGCCACTTCTTGGAAACACTATGGGGCAGTTTTACTGTCCTATAGGGTGGCTATGAGTCAGAATGGACTTGGCGGAAATGGTTTTGGTGTCCTTTGAACCCAGAAGGTGTCATGACTTGGTAGCCTCATTGGTCATTTTACTCTTTTCTAGGCTCTGTGGTGTTAATGAATTGCTATTTAATTTTTTTTCCCCTCATTTTCTTTGTCTATCTTGTCAGGCTTTCTCCCTCTGCCCACCCCTCCTTCTCCCAAAGGCTCCCAGCAGCCAACGCAGCCCTGCTGCAGGTGAGAAAATGTTCGCCTGCTGGCCCGTCTCCCCCAACCCACACCCGCTAAGCACTTCAGCAGGCCACATCTGGGGGCCTTAATTTCCCCGTAAACACAAATGGATGCTTTAAGGGCCTTACCACAGCTCTGGTAGAGCACTTCCAAGCTGCTGTCCTTGCAGGCCGTGTGTATGGGCCAGGCTTCGCCACTGCCACCCTTGGGGAGAAGCAGAGCCCAGATGAGGAGGGCCGCCGTGAGACCTCCCATGGCGACCCAGAGGAAAATAACAAGCCCAATAAAACGGGGCTTGGTCTTCCTTCCCCACTCCAGTGGGGTAACATGCTTAGTTTCACTTCTCAAATTTTATGCTCTGGGGAACCACAGTGAGAAGCAAAGGCAGTTAGCAGGGTAAGAAAGGGGCTCCCTTTAAGACTGGCTGTTTAATTATTCAGGTCATTAGTGGGATTATTAATGTCACTTTCCACTTCCTTCTCAAAACCAAGATCCCGGCATCCTTCTTGGTGGGCCACTGCTGTCCGATTTCACAAGATTTCTGGATCCAGACCCTCACCCCCACCCCACCCTCACATCAGCTTACTAGAACTGGAGTCAGGCCTAAGGCTAGCAGATTTTAGGACCAACAGAGAACATCATTTCCCCTGGGACGAAAAGCATTTCTCTGAGTATACTAGGTAAATAAACTACTTCCGCTGATAGCTAAATAAGAACTAAAGTCACCCTGAAGTAGGTGGAATGTAATTACTGATGAAGACCAATACATTGAATTAATTAATGGATAACGTGGCTTTCTTGCCTGCCCCAGACATGAGGGAGTAGTCATTTGGGGAAGGGATAGGAAGGCCACCAGGCCTGTACTGACTTTTTCAGGTGTTCATCTACAAGTAAGGTCAGCGATGTTGGCTTTCAACAGTGGTTCTTAAAGCATGGTCTCCAGAACAGCATTAGCATCACCCGGAACCTTGTTAGAAATGTACATTCTGGATGACTGTCACAAAATACATTCTTAAGAAGAAAACTCCTTCATTTAAGGACAGACCTGGAGAATAAAAGGTGAGAGTCTGTGGGCAGGAGTCAGCCATAAGTGAGGGCACTCTCCTCCACATGAGATGATAAGGTGACCTGGGTTCTACTCCAGAGAGCACAGGAAAGAGAAGAGAAAGGAGTGAAGAGAAGGAAGGAGGAGAGAGAGCTGGTAAAGGCTGGTGAGAGCTTTTGGGTGGAGAGAAGCCACCTGTCTGAAGGTGAGACAAGTGAAAGTTTTTTAAAAACAGATTTGAAATTCTTTGCTGTGTGGTGTGCAACGTGACACCTCTCTCCTACTCTACGACACAAAAAAAGTTCAGTAGAGCTTTATATACCCAGAAAAGCTTTGTGTTAATCGTGTATGTGGGAGGGGGCAACTTAGAGGGCAGACTTTCATGTCTATGTCAAGGTGATGTGCCACACTGGGGTGTAAGCTGTGGGATAGAGCTCTCTTGGGAATGTGATTCAATCTTGGATGGTGTCTTAGTTATCTAGTGCTGCTGTGACAGAAGTACCACAAATGGGTGGCTTTAACAAAGAGAAATTTATTCCCTCACAGTCTAGTAGGCTAGAAGTCCAAATTCAGGATGCCAGCTCCAGGGGAAGCCTTTCTCTCTCTGCTCATTCTGGAGGAAGGTCCTTGTCATCAATCTTCCGCTGGCCTAGGAGCTTCTTACCACAGGGATCCAGGGTCCAAAGGACATGCTCTGCTCCAGTGCTTCTATCTTAGTGGCAGAAGATCCCTCTCTTCTCTGCTAGATTCTCTCTTTCATACTGCAAAAAAGATTGACTCAAGATACACCCTAATCCTGTAGATTGAATCCTTCCCCATTAACATAAATGCCTCTAATCTTGCCTCATTAACATCATAGAGGTTAGGATTTATAACACATAGGAAATTACATCAGATCACAAAATGAAGGACAACCACATAATACTGGGAATCATGGCCTAGCCAAGTTGACAAATATTTTTCGGGGACACTATTCAATCCATGACAGGTGGGTTTTGTACTCCCCCAGGGCTTGAAAGGGGTTCAGGCCAATTTTATATTCATTTCATGTGCCAGCAAACAGCAGACAGCCCCGCGGTTACACTAGTACTATTCTTTAACACTAAACACTGATGATATATCACACTTTGTTTCCACTGGCAAATGTGTCTTCATCATCATTTGTATTCAAATGTGGCCATTTTCCTCTAATGCCCCTGAGTTATTTATTACTTCAGACAAACCCTTCCCTTTGTTCAGTGTTGCTGCTTTGCTCTACGTTTCTTGTCTTTGTGTTTCTGCCACGCTAGGCTACTAACTGAACGGCTGGAGTTTTAAATCCACCCAGAGGCATCTTGGAAAGCTCACAACTATGAAAACCCTATGAAGTGCAGTTCTATTCTGAAACACATGAGGTCACTATGAGTCAGAATCAACTCCATGGCACTCGGTTACAGTGGGAAGAGATAGGTTTTATCTCATCTACCTTTTGTCTTTCAGACCTAGTGCAACCTGAAAATAGCTCCCCCATTGTGAAGTCAGGAAGCCATGCTCCTTCCTGTGTAACACCATTTAACAGCCCCCTTGGCTGACTGCTGAGGTTTTACTCTTTAACTCTTTTCACACCAGCTGTTCATTACATGACCTGCATGTTCACCTTGCAGAGTTGGTACCAGCCTACTGAGTTTTCCAATCATCTTTCCCACAACCTCCCAGACTTCTAGAAGACTCACCCCAAGGAAGGTGTGAGATGTCCATAAAGTCTCTTGGATTCTTGATATCTTCTATGATGCATCTGATAGAAAGGTACAGAAACCAGCTGGCTGCTTTCTGCAGCAAATGGGGAAAATTCATCTATTTGTCTACTTGATTCAGATTCATTTGTTTATTTATTCAGTAAATATTTATTAAACACCTCCAACATGCCAGATACAGCTCCACGTACTGGGAATACAGAAAAACAAAGTCCCTGTTATCATGGAGCTTACATTCTACTGGGAGGAGACAGACAGAAAAACACTATTTTTTTAATAATTTATTTTATTTTTGCTGTTGCTGTTGAAAATATACACAGCAGAATATACACCAATTCAACAATTTCTACATTCACAATTCAGTGACATCGATTATGTTCTTTGAGTTGTGCAACCATTCTCACCCTCCTTTTCTGAGTTGTTCCTCCTCCATTAACAAACTCACTGTCCCCTAAATTTCCTATCTAATCTTTCAAGTTGCTGTTGTCACTTTGATCCCATATAGATAGATCTTAAAAGAGCACAGTGCTCAAGGCAGACATTCTTTACTAGCTAAGCTAAACTATTGTTTTATTTTAAGAAGATTTCAGGGGATATTTTTGATTCAAAGTTTAAAGATTATCTTAGGGCTAAAAAAACAAATTTGTTTTAGTATATATAGTCGTCTAATAAAAGAAAAATGACTTTGCTTCTTGAAAAATTGCTTGGGTTTCACATAGTAGATTGGACTGAATTTTCTGAAATGTTTTCAGCTGATTGTTGGATACACACATTAATTTTCTTTTTTTAATTTGCCCCAGACTGGTAGATTATCAGGGCTTTCAAGTAACTGTTTGCTCCAATGGACAAACTGTAGCAGGCCTATCTGAAATACATTTCTCCCCACTTCCTTATTGTTGCCCTATTTATTATCATGATTAATGTTTAGTTATTCTGGGGACACAATATGCAAATACTTGGTTTCTAAATGGATCTATAACTTCTATCACAAACTGCAAACAGAATAATTTTTGCTCATCTGAGGAACACGTAGGCTGGGCCAGGGAAGAGGTGAGCTCTATAAATCAGTCTGATTAATTTGCCAATTATGAAAAGAGCAACACGTTGTAGTCTCTGATTAAGGCGGAAGAAATTGCTCAGGGATTCAGAAAGGGCAGGTCTAGTCTGAAAGGATGAGTATATATTGTATAGAAACTCCCTGCAGCGTGAGAAACATTAGCACCTTTTTACTAAAACTCTCCTCCTCAAATTGAGAATGCTTTAAAGATTTTATCCTGATAAGATGGAAGTGATTTTAGTAAGCTGAAGTAAAGACATTGGGAAGGAAACCAGAGGGTAGTAAGGAATGCAACGAGTTATTTGACATGGTGTGAAAACCAAATCAATTGCTGTTGAGTCAGTTTTGACTCATGGCAACCTACGTGTGTCAGAGGAGAACTGTGCTCCTTAGAGTTTTCAGTGGTTGGTATATGGAAGCAGATTTCCAGGCCTTTCTTCTGAGGCACCGCTGGGTGGACTTAAATCTCTAACCTTTTGATTAGCAGCCAAGAGTGTTTATTGTTTGTACCACCCAGGGACTCCTGACATGGTATGAAGAGGGTTCTAATTTGATGTTGTGTCTTGAACCCAAGGCTCAGGCTTCAACGAATACCTCCAACTCAGGTTGGTTCCGGAACTTCCAGATGGTCCTCATGGGATTTGCACTGGCCACATTTAAGCCAAACTATTTCAGTTCATATAATGCTTAACAGGCAGGCGATAGTTGGAGTAAAATAATTTACCCATTCTTTGGATCAGGCCCCTGGAGATTTTCTTAACTCTTGGTGGGGGTGGCTGGGTGCACCTAGAATTCTTCTGAAGAGTATAATAGACAGCTTTCTATTTCCTAAAGTAGTAAACTAACCCAGAAATAATTCTGACATATAAATAATAATCTTTGAAGTAGCCTTAGTTATCTAGCCTGCTATAACAGAAATACCACAAGTGGATGACTTTAACAAAGAGAAATTTATTCTCTCACAGTCTAGGAGGCTAGAAGTCCGAATTCAGGGTGCCAGCTCCAGGGGAAGGCTTTCTCTGTCAGCTCTGGGGGAAGGTCTTTGTCATCAATCTTCCCCTTTTCTAGGAGGGTACCAGCGCAGGAACCCTGGGGCAAAGGACATGTCTGCTCCTGGCTCTCCTTGCTTGGTGGTATGAGATCCCCGTCTTTATACTTGCTTCTCTCTTTTATATCTCAAAAGAGATTGACTCAAGATACAATTTACTTTTGTAGATTGAGTCCTGCCTCATTAACATAACTCTCTACTGCTGCCTCATTAACACCATAGAGGTAGGATTTACAACACGTGGGAAAATCACATCAGGTAACAAAATGGTGGACAATCACTCAATACTGGGAATCACGGCCTAGCCAAGCTGACACACATTTTTGCGGTCAATCCATAACATAGCTGATGGTTTTTCTCTTCAGGAATGATTAAAAATAGCCAAAAGGTACTAAGCTTCTATAG